ATGAGCACGTGTAATTTATCAGCTCATCAGCGTATATAATATCTTGCATATCAGGATCAGGGATTAGCACCTCTGCACACTCATTAAATCCATTCATAATTATGTCATTTGTTTGTATATCCTTGTCAATATAAAAACAAGCTGGGTTCAAATAATAACCAGTTGCATGCAATGGTCGATGTAGCTGCCTATCCCACTTCTCATCAATAATCTAAAAAACAGGCTTGTAGCAGGTTTCTTCATCATTGAAATTTTGGGCTCTCTCTCTTTTGTATTTCTCCATAGGATCATATATGTAGCCCATAGAAGACTTGTCACTATCCACCATGCGAAAGACTTTAACAAGAGGAAAGAATACCTTAAGAGCGCCCTTCACCTCTCTCCAAAAAGCCTTAAAAAGTATAATATCTCTCACCTTATTCCCAACCTGATTCTTAGACCACTTGCATGCTCTCCACTCATCTGAGACAAACATTTGCCTCAACTGCACTCTCCTCGAATGTATGCTATCTAGGGATAAGTACCAAGTCGCAAATCTCGTGACCCCAGGCCTCACAATCTCTTTCTTCTTTGTAAAGGTACGCATCATGCTGAGGGTGAGATGGTGGCTATAAATGAAATTTGTAACTAACTTGGCCTTTTTCACTGCACCTGATATCTCGGTTAAACCGTCAAGAGCCTCAAGCATGAGGTGTATGCAATGTGCTGCATATGGTGTTCAAAAGATTCTAGGATAAGCTATGTGCAACAAATTAGATGCAGCAACATTAGGAGTAGCATTGTTTGTGACAACCTGTACAACAAGATGCTCCCCAACCTCCTTGATTCCCTTCTTTGTCACTTGAAATATGTAATGGGCATCATGGATATGATTAGAGGCATCAATAGACCTCAAAAAGACAGTCCCTGCAAGACAATTCACAAGCAAATTCATCTGACTTCTTCTCTTCCTATCACTCCAAGCATTAGTCATAATAGAAACCCCATACTGAGCCCATGCATCCTTCTTAAGTTCTACAGCTTCCTTCTTGGCACTCACTGCCTTTTTTAAAAAAGGCTCTGAAAGCTCATATGGGGTTGGGGGTTTCATCCCAGGGCCAAATTGGCCAACTGCCTCTATCGCAGCATAGAAGCTGCTTAAGCGAGCGGTATTGAAAGGAATGCTCGCTTCATAAAACCATGTAGCAAGATAATACGCAGCTCTATCTTTTTCTTCCTTCTTGATTCTATTTTCAATGGTGGTTTGTTTTTTTGTTTTCTCTTTGGCAACCTCAGGGTTAGGCCGAGGTAAAAACTATCCATAGGGCCTCTAACCCGAGTCTTCTTAGTCCCAGAACCAAAAGCAATTATAACTTCCTTCCCCTTTCCCTTAATAATGGATTGCTCAACCTCTTGACATCCCTCCCTTTCCTCATTACTATCATCATCATCAAACTTGATCTGAACCCCAGACCTAATCTTTGCTATAAAGGCAAATCTCTCATCTTTTTTCATTTTCACCATGTTCAAAAAATTGTTTATTTCCTCTTTAACAACATCAGGAGTCTTTTTACATGAGGCAACATCCCCCTTGATACCGACAAGATGTCTCTTGAAGTGGTTTATTCCCCCTTTTGTGTCCTTTTCACAAAACTTGTATCTTATGCAATTTTTATCATTAAGATCTTGGTTATAGCCATATTTCCAACCAGGATCACCACTCTTATTAGATCCCAAAGAACATATCTAAAAAATAATGTAAATTACTAAAGCAATAAAAAAAAATCACTTACTTTGAGTTTGATTGCTCAATCTTCAATCTTCCACCTCAAAGATGCATCTAAATACCCAAAATTTTCTAAAAGCCCCCCTAATAGCTTTGCCAAACATCAAAAAGTAAATCTAATATCATTGGGTGATGTTTTGATCAATTTTGTTAACTTTGAGAAACCCTTCGATCCTAAAAAAAACTAGATTTTTGGGGCCCTTCTATCTCTAAAATTGGCTCCAACAAGTTTTAGGGTTCAAATGAATCTAAAACCCTAAATTTTGGCCCTTAAAAATAAAAAATAATGATCAAAATTGCCTTTATCGAAATTCCGCCCTTGGGAGGGGTGTAAGCCCTGGGCCTGGGCACCCGCCCAGATTAGCTACCTTCGGACCGCCTAAGCACTGGGCGGTCCGCTTTTTGAATCATTGCTCACGTACTATATCAAAGAAATATGGTTCCACATAGACTAATATGTTAACATAGTCCCAAAGGCTTAAAATAGTTATTTTATTAAAAGTAAATAGTCTGTTTTTTAAATATAATTTTTTCTAAGAGATTTGAGCTTACATCTTTTAAGGATCAATATATTATGTAAAATAGTTATATCAAAGCAACTATAAATAATTTTTACCTACATTCTATAAAGACAGAATCATTGATGAGATCTAAAGAGCAACATTTTGGAAAATAAAAGAATTAAAACATTCATTTTTATTTTTATTGTATATTTATATTTTCAAATTTTATATTTGTGACCTTTCAAATCTATTATTATTTTTAAAATTCTTTTTACTTTTAGTTATTATTTTTTATATATAAAAAAATTGTACGGGCATGTCACGACCGTTCTGGGTTTTTAAGTTGAAGCACTAGACCCCTAAGATACGTACTAGACATGACACCCTTGTCAGTGTCCATTTAACACTGTCCAATGATTGGTTCGTAAAAGCTGCCAATAGGTGACAAAACCGTAGCTTTAGTGGATTTCAGGGCCCCCCAAGGACAAGTTTACCTTTTCTGGTGTTTGCGCCATAATATGCGCACGTCCTCTTCGTGGAGGTGGCTTCTCATACATGCAGCTATCATATGCACATATCGTGGGGTGGAAATTGTTGAGGATTTAGCTCATACCATCACAAACCGCTCACCTCACGTTGGGGTATATCTTCCTCCCGGCTAATGGCCACTAGGCATCTATCTGACCTCGACAAGGACTGAGCCTGCAAACCCTCCTCATTTTGTTGAAGCGGAATGAGGAGGTGCAGTCTCTCATACATATATTGTTTATTGCTTATGCCACGCTGCTTGAAGAGTATTATAAAGAGTCTCATTTGGTCCATATGTCAATGGGAATTTCATTGGAATTTGAGCACATATGAGCATCCTCTCTTCATAAATTTGACTTACCGAGTTTGGATGATACTATGTTAGACTTAACTGCTGAAGGCACACGGTTGATGTCTTTGAATAATATTTTGGAGAAGTAGAACTTGTGGTGCATTACTTATCTCAAGGTGTCCTCCATTGTTTGATAGATAAACCTTCACTTGCAGTCTTTATGGTACCTACAGGCCATCTGTATCTTCTGGTCATGTTATTCCAATTTTTTCCTTGATAAACTTCCATTTATCCGTATCTGATGCTTGTGACATGGACAGGGCATTCCATTATCCAAGGAAGATCCCCCCTTGGAATTTGCCTAGCATTATTGCAAAGCTTCTTCCCTTGATTTGTCCCAGTATCATCTGTTCTTTGGCTGCCATTGTAGCCTCAAGTATCTTATCCAACAGTTATGTTGCCTCTTGATAACATTTTTTGAGGGTTTTTATGATGCAAAATGTCCACAACTTGATGTAGATGCTCTAGTTCCTCCATTAGTCATATACACAAGACTATCATCAGAACGATGTGGAAATCAACAATGCATTTGTTCACATATTTACCCATCATCATCATCATCCGAGCCTTATCACAACTATTTGGGTCGGCTATTCACATATTTACCCATGAATGTGAACTTAGTTCCATTCTCTTTTTCCTCCAATATAGTTTTGTAGTCAAGAGGGTAGTTGGTTTATTCCATCAATTTTAGGTTTCTACAACATTCTTCATCCATTTTCACTTTTTCAGTTTGTTTTCTTGCCATCCTTCAGGCAAAGATATTTTATGTTTGTCTTTATTTCTAAGGAAAATATAAGTATTTTTCCTCCTACAAATGATGACATGCTTTCGTAATATATAATATCCTTCCATGGGAACCACAGGCTGGTTCACCCATTCAAAACATGAGGTACAGGTCGATTTCTATAGTATTTTTATTTTTTTATGTTTAGTTATTCATGAATTTTGAGTTTATTATGTATATGTGGTTGAACTGGCTTTGGGCTGCCGATCACTTTACGAATGCAATATGGATGGACCTCTATTTGCCCCTTCTTCTCTAGCTGAATCTTCTAAAATTATATACCAGCCAGCTGGTTCTGGGGAGGTTGGATAAATGTGATGGAGTTTACCAACTGGACAATTCTTATGCTCCAACCACCTGTTTTTATCTCCACCAATCTGAGGACCTAGCTGGACTGGACAAGGGACTGGTTTGGCCAATACGAGGTTGAAGTGGCTGTCTAGTAGGCTTTTAGTAACGTGGTTATTGATAGAATGTTGTATCTTTTTGCTGTTGGAGATCCTGTGGGTTGTTCAGGAGGATAGCATGGTCAACTTCGTTGCTTCAGATAATTGTGACCTGCTTTGATTAATTAATGGTATTGTCATTTCTTTTACTGATCATGAGATCTAGTAAAAGCAATTTTTACGTTGTTCATATAATATCAGTTCAAATCTGAATCATTGGAAGTTTTTAGGTAGTCCTTCTTCTTGTTTTATTCCAAGGAGTCATGCTATGCTATTTTATATGTTCTATAAATGTAGAACCGATGTATTTGATGGCTCCATGGAAGAAATTTTAGACCTTTTTTAATTTTGTCACTATTAAAACAAGAAGTTGTCAAAGATGAAGGAATGGTGTACCGATGTTTCTGTTGTTTAGGTTAAGAACTGGTCTAGCATGTTGTTGTTCTGGTAGTGTACCTTGTCAGTTGATATACATGATTTTGTAGTGTTTGTTCTTGGCCAAGTGTACATACAAACTCTCCATTAACTTATGGTTTCACTTGTGAATATTTATGCAACTTCCCCCAAAAGTATGTAAATGATTTGAGACATCCATGTATCACATTTGACTCATTTGCAGGTTCCTGCAGCATTCGTTAGTAAACAAACTGCAGAGGAGATGGCATTGCTGGCATATAATCGTGCTTTGAAACTTACTAAAATAGGTTTGACTTGTCCTTGAGTTTTAGTATGAAAACATTGCTAAATTCCTCTTTGGAGAAAGTACCTGCATGGTTTATATATCATATTATCTCTCTTGCATGTCTATGCATATGTGTGTTTAGGTTTATTAGTGGGGGTTTTGTGCTTCCTTTTACATCCTGGTTTAATTTTTCCAAATACATGCTAGTTAATAATTTCATATTCTTGACTTTTTACTGAAAAATTTGCAAAATAAAAATATCATTGATTATTTTCTAGAGGTGGATACTTACGTTTGTCTTGTTATATGTTTAAATGTTCATTTAAAAATGGAAGAAGCATTAAGTTTATCTTGCAGAAACTTTTCCATTGTTAATTTGGATCTTTCTGAAATTGTCAAAGATAATGTTGGGTTACTAGTATCATATATGATATACAGAGTGAGTCACCAGCATTCACAACTTATATCATAATCAGTAAAAGAAGTAAGTTAAAAATGTTTTTGTGTTTGATTTGGTAGCGATGTTTTACAATTTTTAAAGCAAGTTATAAGAAGAAAAGAATGCATACAGAGTAAACTGGAGGTTTTTTATTGGAGCTCATATGAACAACAGCCACGATCACTTACTGAAAATATGAATATTTTGAACAGAAAAAATAAAATTTACTCAGATTATGATTGTTCTTCATCATCATCATCATCATCCAAGCCTTATCCAACTATTTGCAGTTGGCCACATGAATCCTATTCCACCATTCTGCTCTAGCAAAGGCCATATCCTTAGTCAGATTGTTCTTACAATAATATTCTATTTGATAGGTGCTCCGGTTATGGGGATTGGATTCACTGGGTCATTGGCTAGCACGCATCCAAAGCACGGGGACCATCGGTATTGCCTAGATTTTCCTCATTTATTTTTATTTTTATCAACTATTGAAGAGCTTACTCTTTGTTATAATGGGTTGTTTAAATATAAGTCAAAGGGAAAAATGTTGTGTCTATAGACTATATCGTCTACCCCACTGGTCTCATGGTGGCTGTCTCATGAACTCAAGCCCTCTTTAATCGTGCCTATTTTAGTGGAGCTATCAAAGATCTGCCTCATTTGCAGCATTACTTACATAATGAATTTTTCAGTACATGATAGATCATGGACAAGTCATGAGAGCAAAAAAAACAAAAGAAAAAACAAATCATTTGTAGTTCAATATTGGGACTTCTTCATCTTTAAACTATCCAAGTGACTGCATCCGTGTTGATGCCTTAATTACTTGTATTGTTTTTTACTACTCTTGATGATATTTCCATTTCTCTCTGGCTATAACCTCCACATAGTTGCTAGGATTGAAATTCCATATGAAAGAACACTCACTACTTTAAACTTGATGTATGCATGGACAGAAGTGAAAGATGGACAATGTGATCTAGCCAAGTATGTACAGTTAATTTTTTTTTTTAATTCATACCGGCTTGAACACTTACAAGTGTCCAAAATTACAACTTCATTAAAAAATTATACCCAAATATATTCTAGGATCTCCTATTGTATCCATTACAATTCTTTATAATCAAACAAAAATACAATGCATGAAGAATCAAGAAACTTGGAGCAATTAGAATACCAAATACCTTGCCTTAGGTTACCTCCATGGACTTCGTGCACCCCACACCGGGTCTCCTCCACCAATAGAACTTGGGATCTTAGTCCTAACCTTTTCTCATAATTTGAGAAACCTAGGCAAAACCTCTTGAGAGCATGACATAGGATGGAAGCAATCTCATAGCACAAGAAAATAACACAAGTACCATCTGGTCTAGGGTATGCCACCCTCTAGTGGCTTGATTGTACCCCTTAGGGTTTACTCTAGGCTAAAAGCAACTCAAAACCCTAACTAGAAGATAGAAATAAGAGAGAGAGAGAGAGAGAGAGAGAGAGAGAGAGAGAGAGAGAGAGGAGGTAGGTACGTACTCTACAGTAGAGAGAGAGAGAGACGACACTACTACTACACGTAGTAGTAGAGTAACTACACATACAATAAAGTAAATTAATTAATAGTAGAG